GCTGCCTAGCCAGCGGTGCCCTCATCCAGTGAATGAATAAAAAAAAAAGGAAATATAATATTTGCAATGCATGTATACAAATTGAGTATTAGGCTGGGGAGTTGCAGGTGCAAAATGTAAACATCAGAATGTGCAGGTGTGACAATAATGAAGACCTGGCTCAAAAAAAGCAGAATTATGTACCAAGTATTCCTGGATACAAAAAAAAAGTGGGGGGGAGGGGAAAAAAAAACTAATTAAGGAGTATATTACAGTGTAGAAGAGAAGAGGAAAAATGTCTTGAACCAGTCAAGAGAACCAATTATGTAGAGCTAAGAAATACTAGGTGTTGTTACACTACTGGGTGTTTTCTATAAGCCCCAAAAGGGGAAGTTAGGAGTAAATTTGTGAGGAAATTAGAGGCACAAGAACTTGACAGTAATTATAATGGGGGACTTTAATTATTCTTATTATACAAGCATAGCAACAGCCTACAGGGCACAAGGAGAAGAGTGGGTGAAGTTCAGATGAATTTTCTTGATCAGACGGTTTCTGATTCAATGAGGAAGGAGGCTTTGCTGGATGTGGTTCGAGGGAATGATGTGGGTCAAATGGGTCAAGTGCCAGGAGGGGAACATTTAAAAAAAAAAGTGATAATAAAAGTATCATAGGTTTTGCATTAGTCCCAGAAAAAAGACAAGGAATAATTTAGAGTTAAAAAGGTTTAATCAGATGAGGGAAAACCTCTGTGCGCTGGGAACTGACCTGTTCCAGGTAAATTGGAATCAAGCATTGTCAGACAAAACCGTAACAAAACAATAGGCTGCATTTAAAGAAGAAATGATTTGGGTATTCTTGTTGAGTCAGGTATATTTTCACAGAATGATTGTTTAAGTTTTTTAGGTACCCAGAACGATCTTGTCATGGAGCTGTTCCTAGAAAGGGCAGAGAGCAGAGTGACAGCCTTTAGTGAGTTGGATGTTCTGTTGGTTGAAATCTCGCTATATAAAGGATCAAGGGGAAAACATGTGGGGTAAACTGACTTAGGTATGAGAGTTTATAGAATAGTTTTTCACTAAAGCAACAGTAAGCTTGCAGCTTGGCATAACTCTGAATGTCATGTATTGTCGTATTATATATGTAATAAAGTGTTACAAAATAGTCTAAATCTGAAGACAATATTTGACTGTCTGCTCAAACTAGTCTGCTTTCAGCTCAAAACTCCTTGTGGTGTATATAAAACCACACAAGATGACAACCTTACTACCTCTATCTGCAACACAGTAAAATTAAAACCTTCAAAAGACTCTCAAAATTGAACTCAATAGTTCCTAATCAGACTTTTGAATAACCAATCCCAGATTCTGTGAATAATCAATTCTACACCAGTTTGTAGCTTAAACAAAAGCCTTAAAGCAATACAATAGCTTTAGCAGAGAAAAATTAAACGAAGTAATTAATGCAAACCCAAAAACTTTTGTTTTCAGCCCCATTCACGAAAAAAAGGCAAAACAAACAAAGACAGTTAAGGGATAAGTAAAGTAACACGGGTCGGATTTCTTAAGTGGGTTTTAAAAAGCAAACTGTTACCAGTCTAAAAGTCATCTTTGGCCCACAGTTCCCAGCTTCAAACTAAAATTGATAAAAATAACAAAATGAAAAATAACTCTAGCAAGATTCTCGGAAGGAAGTGTTGGGGCCCTTGCTCTTTCCAATATAAACTAATAATCTAGACTTTGATGTACATGACACTGTCTCAAAATTTGCAGATGATAAAAATTTAGAAGTACTGTGAGGAAGACAGTGTAGAACTTCAAAAGGACAGACAGGTTAGTGACACAGGCAGGCACATGGCAGATGAAATTTAATGCTGAGTAGTGTGTACTGTTTCATTTTGTTGGGGATATCAAGGTGACAATATAAACTAACAAGTTTAATTCAGTAGAGGTGCAGGAACAGACATGCCTGCAGTATAAGTTAAACAAGTGGTTAATAAAGCTGACAGGACTATAAAAAAAGGATCATAGGATAGAAAAGATGCTACAAATCTACACAATTCTAGCTAAGACTCAAATGGAATATTGTGTCCAATGCTGGGCACCACAATAAAGGAAGAATTTGACTGCATTAGAGGGGGTGCTGACAGATACACGAGGATGAAGAACTTTAATTACACAGATACATTGGAGAAGCTCAGGCAGTTTTCCTTGGAGAAAAATAAGTTGGGCAATTTGGTAGAGTTATTCAAAATCGTGAGGTGCTTGGACAGAGTAGATAAGTAGGGTCTGTTTCCATTGCTAGAAGGATCAAGAACCCGTGGGCATGGATTTAAAGGTGATTAAAACATCAGCAACAGGAAGAACAACTTCACAGAATGAGTCATTAGGATAGAGAATGCATTGCCTGCGTAAATATGGTGGAGGTAGTTTCAGACATGACATGAGAGAGATTTGGATTATATTAGAAGAGGAAAATATTTGCAGGACTACAGGGGAAAAACAAGGAAGTGAACTGATCTTGCTGTGGGTCAGCATTGACACAATGGGCCAAACAGATTATTTATTTTAAATACTTCTATGATTCTAGTCAGAGGACACAGATTTAAGGTGAACCTAAAGTAATGAGAGCTTTTTTTTTTGAAGACCAGGTAGTGGCTATGCCTTTGAAATGTGCTGCTTGAGGTTAATTCAATTGTGGCTTTCAAAAAGGAATTGGATTAAGAACCTCGAGATAAAAATATTCACAGTTTTAGGGAAAGGGAAACACAGACAAACAAGCTGGATTACTCTTGCAAAGACCCAGCATAGATTTAATGGACTGAATGGCCTTCTCATTGTAAAAATTCTATAATCTATAATCAATGAAGCAAAAATTTACAATAATCATTTTGTGCAGTTTTTGGTATACGTACAGGCACAAAACCTTACAGTAGCGAAGCCAAAGCACTATGCCACCCAAATTTTAATGGACAATTTGCCTATGGTTCTCACAGGTGTAGATAGCCAAATTGTTTTGAGTTTCAGGTGAAGTTACAATAAAGAGACATCATATGGCTATTGTTTCCTCCATGTAAACTCGCAAATGGAATATGAACACTCACAATACTTGATTTTCTCTCAGCCGTACAAGTGTCAAGAGAACAGAATTTAGGATTTTTCAGTGGGGTGAACAGCAACAAGTTATTCAACATGTCCCATGTGGGATGTGTGCAAATTTGTAAACACAAAGTATGTAAAAAAAAATCTTGCTAACATTTTGTGCTTTCCAGAGATAAATGGACACCGACAGTGAAGTAGGTGCTTTTTAGATCTAAGTTGCTAGACAATAAGGCATGCAGAGTGGTCATAACCATGTTTAAACACAAACACAGGCTGTCAAAATTAATTTACATTACTTTACAAATGACAAATTTTGCAAACTAACTTTCTTTTACCCAAAAACCCATACTGATTCACAGGATGGTAATGTTAATTTGTTAAAGATGCTAAACAAATACAAGTAATAGTCTTACAAGAGCAGACAGGAGATTTCAAGTCTATTTGTTAAGTAATTATGGAGTCTGGGATATGCTAAGTTTTAGCAACCAAGATTAAAAACATTGGCAGGCTTCTCCTTACTTATTCACAGCTGGGAATTGCATTAGTCTGGATGATGGGTGCAATAATTATCTTGAGGATTTTGCATTTTAGTAGTAATGAGGATAGGGTATAAATAGATTAAGGCTGCTGCACAACTATAATCAGATGAAATGAGTGATTAGGAATTCCACAGCTGCAACATTGTATATTAATTCCTTTTCATAACAAAAAAGTTAGCAACTTAGCTGTTTACTAAGTTTTAGTTTTTGCATCATGAAGATTGTAATGTATCATACCTTAAACAGAATGCAGTCAGATTTCTTAAGTGTATTACTAAATTGCTAATGGCGGCTTAAAGGTAGTAAATGAGACTAAATTTATGCAAGTCAAAAAGATAGAGACCAATTTCTTGCTAAAGTCTTGACAATGATCCCCTCTAACTGTATTTATTTATTAAAACATTAAAACTACAGAATGGTGACAGATTGTCAATTTCAGACCCAAACAGGCACTGTCATTATTAGGTTTCTTTCAATTATTACATCTACCTGTCAAATGTTAATTGTCAACAAAGATGTATTAATTAGAAAAGACCACTGCCTACATCTGCCAATCCAGTTAATTAGCCATTAGCCTCATCTGGCTGATTGAGAATCCAAATGTGGCTAATTGGCTTTTCAGTTAGCAAATAAAATGGAGTAATAGACCATCATTGGCTAGGTGATCTCAAAACTGAGCTACACAGGTGTTTACATATTTCTTTAACGTTAACATGAGAAGGTGGTTAATTTCAACTAATGTTAAGTAGCAAAATGAGCAGTGTGTGTGCTTTTGATCAGTGTACCTTTTGTTTCTGCTCGTTACATATTCTGCTAAAAGTAAAGCTTAACCTGGGTGAAAGTGGAACTTGAACAGCTTGAAGGACTTTTAAATGTATCCATAATATAAAAATCAAAATTCATGAGGGGTGTCCATTTTAGCTGCAACCTTGCAGAAAATCATGTGCCAAACAATAGACAGAAGCTAATGTGACAGGATAGGTCAAAAGTTTAAGAGTAGGTTGGATGTATGACCATCTAAACTTGCAGAAACCATCTGACAGTATCAGATTGGACTGCTTACTTTTGCATCAACAACAATGACTTTGCAGCTCTTACTCATCTAGAGTACAGATTCCTCCACCTGAGACATCCATTTCAGGCTTGGAAATGGTATTCTTGATAACATGTTTTGGTTCCCATGGCACTACAGTAGTTTAGCACATAAACAAGTTGTAAGAAAAAACACAAATCTTAAAATACTTGACCAAGCATAAATTCAAAATACTCCTCTACATTTAATGTCACAAGCATCCAAATTATCTGGGAATTGAGAACTGTAGTAAGTATTTGCACATGTAAAGTTATTAAGCTGAAGTAAAAAAAAATAGCAGACACTCAAGTAGAAGGTTAAATTATTCAAGGTTAGTATATTTGAAACTTCACTAAAATAATTCAGAACATTAGTTAATGCCACTTATTGTTGATGGATTTAAATTCTACCTTACAGTAGGAAATACCAACATGAAAAAAAACTTAATAAAACTCCGTATTATAGATATTTATAAGAGGTTTACATGCTTGGAATAATGTTCTTTTTTGTTATTTATACAGAAATTAAATGGCACCGATTTGTATATACAAAAGCAACCACAACTGCTTCATCAGTTACACTGATTACACCGCATTTGTATTCATTATTGGCAAGATGATTATGACAACAGTCGTCATTATTTTTGGCTGAATAAAAAGCAAGCTGCTAGGAAGATATTTCAAAGTAAGCACCCCACTATCAACAGTGTACAGTACCAAACATTTCAATGCAATTGCTTAATGGAACATATAGCTCATCCAATGCTTTCCTTTCTATAAAAGGTATTGTAGAGATTTGCATTTTGCACACCACAAAGGTGACACAATACATTGAAGCATTACTTCCTCCTGTGTACACACATAAATAGCCCAACAGAAATCTTCAAAGATCCAGCAGACACAGGACCTCAGCACTTCATTGTGCACTTGTAGTCTCTTTTGGTTGACAGAACCCAAAATAACATGAGTGTTATAGAAGAAACTAGTTCCCATGTAACCAGAATAAGTTATTTAAGAGTTCAACATTTATTTTCTCTCTTCAACCATGTTCAAACATCCAGACAGATCTTAAGTCTTGCAAATCACAATGAGTAAGAAATACTGGAGGTATCAACTGAGGTTTTCCATTTCTAAGCAGAGGGGAGAAAAACCAAAGCCAAGATCTCAATGTGTAAATAATTGTAATCTAAACAGTTAGAAACACCAAAAATCCAAGCAGGACTAGGCCATTGCAGGTGTAAGTTCACCATCCTCAAGAAATTTCTTCTCATCTCAGTCTTAAATAGCTTATTCCATATCCCAAGACTACAGCCCTTTCCTTTGGCCACACCAGTCAGGGTATACATCATTGCTGCATTCAGTCTGTTTAGGCTGGTCAGATATTTTAATGAGTCTACCTTCCAATCCTCTAAACTTCAGTGAAAACCATGGTTTTCTGACAATGGCATGAAAGGGTGCTCCTTTAAGCAATAGAGAAACCAAATATCATAAAATTGAAATATTTATATCCAAAGCCAGTTTAAAACCTCTGGCATCAGATGGCCACTTGGACACTTAGACAAATGAGAAACTCAAGCACATATCATTTAACAGTGCAATTCAAATAATGAATCTTGTCAAATGTTTAATTCTTGAAGCTCACACTCTACACTGGACATAAATATTCTCCTTGGATCTTTCTGTTAAATCCAGATGGATAAAGATTTCATTCACTGTTGGATACGAGGACGTGATGCAAAATAACCACAGGTAGTCATAGCACAAACCAACCCAGCTGCCAGCCTTACATCAATTAGAAAAGTAGTGGAAGGAATAGAAAACATTCAGAAATAACATTACAGGACAGAGTGGTGACAACACAATAAAACCGTTCACTGCTGACAGCAAGTAGTTACAATTTAAAATTGTTCCATTCTGTGGTGCTGATATTACCTACCTCAATGAGAGCAAAAATAAAAAAGACGTTCAAAAACACTGGTCAATATTCTGGAAAGAACTCTAAAATCGGTAGCCAAAATTAATTTCAGTAAAATAAAACAAGTAGGCAGGGCTGCTTTATACACTTTGTTTTAATCTTAATGGTTACTAATTCATTCATTTGGCTAGTTAGCTCTCAATTAAGTGTCACTAAATGACAAAGCTTTCAGATTAACATGGGGAGACCAGAAATCTTTTAAACTGATGATGATAGAAGAAACAAATTTACAACATAAAGCATACATCAACCGTCCGGTCATACGCTGGGAAGAATTTTGTGATCTGACCCCTGGCAGTGGGTAGAATTAAATCAGATGGGGAGGTTGATGGGTGGGAATTACGCCACCTACAGCCCGACTAATTCTATGGTGGACAGCCTTAATTGGCAGTAGGGCACGAAGACGAAGTGGGCAATTAACACCCAATTAGGAACCTCATCCTGCCAAAGCAGGTGTTAATTCAGTAGCAATTGGGGTAATGGTTAGTTTTCTTAGGGGAGTTGGGGTGGGGTTGAGGGGTGCATGGGGTGTTTACCATCTAGGGAGCATGACGAGCAAACTCTGGGGGCGAGGGAGTTACCTAGTTCAAAGATTTCAGTGCCTGAGGAATTTGACACTTTATTTGGTGTCAGGGAGGGGAGGCAAAAGCCAATACCAAAATTCATGTGTCTCCTCCACCTGCCATCAAACATCTCGATCTCTATTCTATTAAAAGGTCACAGAAGGTGTCATACCAGCAGCTGTCACTGGCACCCCAGTAGCACTGCTGATTACACAACTAAGCAGGACTTCCACCCCCAGGGGTCTTGATCCTGGAAAAAGATCTGCTACTGTCACCTGTTAGGTACCTGTGTGGCACATAACATATTGGGATTAGGCTTAGGCTCCACAATTTCCACAAGGTCCCATTTGCAGCTGTTAAACTACATTTGATTCCAGTTTTTGCTTTCTTCATTCATCAATTTAAGCTTAAACAGCATAAAAGGCATTAGATATTTCAGCAGGCCAACATTTTCTGCTTATAACACAATTATAATGCCAAAGTGGCATTCTTAGATTTTAAAAATAGAAATCTATTCAATACGATGAGAAATGAACAAACATAAGACATGTCCTGTAAGGACATTTTAATCTTACATTTTACAAGTAGTCTTGTAGAAAAAAGGTCTTAAATTACTTTTTACAGGCAGAGTTCTTCCTAGATAGCAACTGTCAAAATCCAGGACACAACGTAACCGCTTTAGTGAAAGAAGGGTATCTTGTAGCCCATGAAGGTTCAAAGAATCTGTATCGACAAACTTATCAGAATTTAGTTTACAATCTGAAGTATGCAACGATACTCAGTACTTTACTGTAATTTAACTTTTTTGTTCTTCTTTTTCTCAGCTTTAAGTACATCGTCATGAGCCTTTCTCTTAGCTGCCAACTTGTTTCTCTGTAGAGGGAGGTTAAAAACATGCAGGTTAGATAGAGTAACAATGGTGTTAAAATACAAGTCTTCAAATTTTAAACAATTTAAATAATCTACCACAGAAATGGTATCGAGCTGAAGAAAAATGGGAATCTCGCTTCATAACCTAGAAGTCAAATTGATTCCCTGGGTTGCCATTAAACTTCCTGACCAGAACACTGCAAATTTAAAAAAAAAAATCAAATCTATTCTCTGCACAGATGCTGCCTGACCTGCTCAGTTTTTCTAGGATTTTGTTATTTCAAACTTCCAGTATATTTTGCTTTGGAACTTTTGTCAAGTTTTTATTTAGATGCAATGTATCTGGATTTTTGTAAGGTTGTTGAGATGGTGTCCCACAATAGCCTAATGAATAAAGGTAAGAGATTGCAAAGTCAGGGACAAGTGACAGAATGAATTGTGAGTTAGCTTCAAGACAGAAAAGGAAAAAGGGGTGGGATAAGTAGTCGTTATTCAGAAGGGACAGAAGGTGGAAAGTGGCGAGCCACAAGGATCAGTGCTGCTTGATCATAAGGAAGACGGCAATAAATTACAGGGCATTAATAAAAATCTGCAGAATGAGCAAACAAAGTTCAATAGAGATAAACAGAAGTAGTGTGTTCTGGTAGGGAGGATTGGGCAATTACTTATTACTTAGAAGTTCCAAGTCCAAATGGGATAAAAAGGAACAAACAGGTTTCAAAAGTACAAATCTATTAATTGTTAAACATTGCACCACAATGTTAGCAAGGCTTTTTTCAAAAAAAAAAGCAAACTAAACACTAAACTGGATTGCTAGATGAAGAGGGCTGCGAAGTAGGCACCAAACCTTAAAACAATCAATAGTATTGTGCGTAGCTCCAGCCATCATTTTGTATGCAGAGATATGCAGAAAAGATTTACAGTGATAATACCAGAAATGTTCAGTTGTACACATCAAGAAACAACTGACAAGCTAGGTACCTCCTTTGCTGAAAAAAGGTAGCTATGAAGTGACCTTATAAAAGTGTTTATGAAAGGTTTTGAGAGATTGAATGGAGAGAAAATGTTTCCCTTTGTGGGAAAAGCCTAACTTGAAGCCTATTTGGCAACGTGGCCCATCGAGTCTACTCCACGATTCAATCATGGCCGATATGCTTCTCAACCTTATTCTCCTGCCTTCTCCCCGTAACTTGCAACCACTTTTCAATCAAGAACCTATCTTGCTCTGTCCTAAATACATTCAATAACTTGGCCTCCATAGTCCTTTGCGGCAATGAGTTCCACAGATTTACCACCCTCTGGCGAAAGAAATTTCTCCTCATCTCAGTTCAAAAGAGTCGTCCCTTCATGGAGTCAATGCCCTCAGGTCCCAGTCTCTCCTACTAGTGGAGAAATCTTCTCCATGTCCACCATAGCCATGTTTCTCAAAGTTTCAATCAGACTTTTAAACTCCATCGAGTATAGACCTAGAGTCCTCAGCTGCTACTGACATGAGAAGTCTTTCATCCATGGGATCATTCTTGTAGGCCTCCTCAGGACTGCCTCCAACACCAGCACATTCTTCCTTAGATATGGGGCCCAAAACTGCTCACAATACTCCAAATGTGGTCTGACCAGACTTACTTAGTCTCAGCAGTACATTTCTGCTCTTGTATTCCACCCTCTTGAAATGAATGCTAACATTGCATTTGCCTTCCTAACTGCCAACAGAACCTGCAAGTTAAACTTTAGAGAATACTGAACTAGGACTCCCAAGTCCCTCTGTGCTTCAGATTTCCAGTCTTTCCCCATTTAGAAAACAATGTACACCTCCATTCTTCCTGTCAAAGTGCATAACCTCACTTCTTCCCGTCAAAGTATATAACCTCACATCTTTCCTCACTGTATTCCATCTGCTACTTCTTTGCTCACTGTTCTAGCCTGTCCAAAGTCCTTTTGCAGCCTCTCTGCTTCCTCAACCTACTTGTCCCTCCACCTATCTCTGTCATCTGCAAACTCAGCAACAATGCCCTCAGTTCCTTTGTTCAGGTTGTTAATGATGTGAATAATTGTGGTTGTAACACGGATCCCTGCAGAATTCCACTAGTTTCTTTACCCCTACTCTCTGCCTCCTGCCAGTCATCAATAAAAGACAGACAGACAGTCACCAAGAAATCCACTAAGATGTTAACAAACATCTTCAACGAAGCGTGTTAGAATATGGAAATTGCTATCACAGGAAGTAGCTGAAATGAACAGTATACATAGGTTTAAGGGAAAACTTGACAAGCATGTGAGGGGAATGGAATAGATGTTTAAGATGGTGAATTTAGAGGATGAGAAAAAAAAAAATAGATTAGAGGTGCCATGAGTGCACAATAAACATTGGTGCATTGCCTGGTGCTGAAAAGCTTCGTTGTGTTGTACCTACCACATATTCCTACATTTATGCTATTAGAAGACTGGCTATTATCCTATAGAGAGCAAATGTCAGTATGTTTCTCCCCAGCTATCAGCCACCCTTATAAAAGTCATATTTTGGAGTGGAGGGACAGGGAAGAAAAGGAATGTGAATTGATCATCGTGAATATGAAAGACTGTTTTATTCCCACTAGTTGGTCCCCTTATAGCTTAAGAATTATAAGAATTTCAATTATTCCCAATAGAACGTGGGCATATGCTTTTTCTTCCTTCAAATAAAGACAAAGCCTTTCTTTTAAGCAAAAATAAACTTCAGGTAGTGTGTCACAAATGATTACATGAAGGCCAAACAGCATTTAGTGCACATGGAGGATTAAATACTTAACTGAACTCAAATAGGAAGGTGAATTAAAAACTGCAACTCAAATGCACTGTTGAGAAGACTTGTGGTTTTGACTGGCCTACTCAATAAGGTCAGATTTTTGCTCCCAATTATTTTGTATGCTAAACCCATAGTGTGCTCCAGTCAATGTATACAAGGAAGACATTCAAGCCTGCAGGCAATGCAAATAAGGAAAACAAATTATTCAGCCTCAAAAGAAAGGGACTTACCATTTTAGTGCAGTCTTGGTATGGAGCCAGTCAGTTAACTGGACCTTTAACTTTGGCTTGCACTCACTTGCTCTATTGTAATGTCTTCATCTTATACTTTCAATGATGTAGCTCCTCACTTACAAAATCTGGTACAGTTTTACGAACCTCCCTTCCACGGCACTTAGGTTTTTCTTTGCCTTACCTTATGCTCAATGTCCCTTTTCACTGGATAATTATAACTAGACAATAGACATATTGAAGGACTGAACAGAAGAGACTTTATAATTTAATGCCTCATTAGCCCTCAACACTTCCAATAAACTCAATTACTAATTTTTGGGTAGCAATTTTGCTCCCTCCTTTGTGAAGGAATAGGAATTATCCTTCAAGCCTTAAACTAGAACCTTTTTAAGAAAATCCTAAAGACTTGTATATTGCCATATCTTGAACAAGTACTCAAGCACTTGAAATAAAGACAACACAACATTTCAGATAGCAGAAATAAGAACTGATGAAAATACAAACCTCACGAACTTTTCTCTTCTTGCCAAACATGATTTTCTTGTACAAATACTTCTCTTTTTTCTTCATCATCATGATAGCTAGGCGCTTCTCTTCTGCTTGCTCTCGTTGGGATGCTTCTGTTTTGTTCTCCAGCTTGACAGTTCCTGCAGTTACTTTCACATTCAGTTGCTGTGGAAACATCCGTAAAATCAGTGAATCAAGAAATATAATCAAAAAGATTAATTTGTGGGTTCACAAATAGTCGATGAACAGCTAATCACTTCCTGAGTATACTTATGAAGATGCTGAAACATGTCAATGTAATCACACTAACGTTGCAGCCACAGCAATCTTCCACTCGAGTTGTAGCAGTTTTTTCTCAAAGCACCTGGTGTATTTGACTGCCTGTTTATGACAAAGCTGCATCTTAGAAGTCAATGCGCAACTTGTTACTCCTAGGCTTTTTATACTTTTGGGGAAAAAAAACAAATTTGCAGGAGAAAATATATGTTTAACTTTTTTGGTGAAATTCTTTGCAAAAATTTAAAGAACACCATTGTTCCAAAAAGTAAGAAATTCCTTCCTAACACTATTTAGTTTACCTTCTGTTGCGTGGCTGCCAGTTCTTAATTGGATCACAACATCAAATATAGAAGCGTATAGCACAGAAATGGGCACTTTGGCCCACAGAAATGAAGAATATTCACTGAAGGTTTAAGTAATGTGTAATAGCCCTCATCTGCTCCACACAGATGCAGGAAATACATCAATGACAATCAAGTAACTCAAACCCCTCATAAGCAAATGCAGATTATCTGGAGGAGGAAATCTTAAACTCACCTAGCACCACTTGGGAGTGGTACACTTGTTCTGATTCTGGAGCACCACTAGTCGATGCGTACATGGATTGTAGGGTGATTTGAATCCTGGAATATTTATGCACTGTACACAACTAACACCTGAAAATGGGGCTACACAAACTAAAACTCCCCCTTCCATATATTTCAAGCCAAAGTCTCCAGTTTGCCACAGTTGAATCACCAGTGCCACAGGCTGGAGTTTAATTTTTAAAATGTAATTATTATGGCATAACAAAAGACTGAATTTTACACAGATTTAAATCAAAGGCCGTTTCTAATGGAACTCACTTTGTTTTTCACCTTCTCAGCCTCCATTTTCTTCAGCATTTCTTCGTCTTCCTTTTCGGTTTCATCCAAATCCTCCTCACCTTCATCCTCAGACTCATCATCCTGTTCATCCTCTTCAGATTCATTTTGGTTTTCATCTGTAATAAAAAAAGACAAGAAATGCAAGTAGTATGATAACAGTAATCTTTCAAAACAAATTGCATTAAGAGACTATTGGTGAAACTGGATCCTTCTTTTCTTCTATCCATGCTCACACAGGGGTGGAAGCTTAAATCAGCTTCTAAAGAAAATGGTTGACTTTTGTCAGTTAAGGAGATCACAGGTATCAGTAGTATTGACAAGTTTTGTAATCATCTTGGGTAAAGTTAAACAGTTCTTAAAATAGCTTTGTCTTTTTAATTTTGATCTGTTGCTTGCACTTGGAGTAGATTTTCATTGATTTTTTAATAATTGCTGTACTTTGTACCCTCTGTACTTTATTTTAATTAACGTCAATTACTCCATTCTTAATTAGACAAAGCATGATATTAGCAGATGTTGTTAATTTTCAATCCAAGATGGATAATTTTTTGTAAAGCGAAAGGTATTAAGGGATATGGGCCAAAGGCAGATTTATGGAGTTAGGCCACAGATCAGCCATTATCTGAATGGTGGAACAGGCTTAAGGGGCTGAATGGCCAAATCCTGTTCTTATGTTCAGATGCTTTTAAATCAAGAAGAATTTAACATTGAGGTCAAAACTTGCAAGGTAGCTATTAACAACTTGCTTTTGTATGTAACAGAATGTTGCAAAGTGCTCCTTAGGAGCATTATAAAACAAAAACGTGACACCAAACCACATAAGGAGATATTAGATCAGATGAGCAAAAGTTTAGTTTTAACAGAATATCTTACAGGAAAAGAAGTAGAAAAGAGAGGCAGAGAGGAGCTGGGAAGTAGGGAATTCTATGGCTTAAGGGCAGTTGAAAGAACAGCTAGCAATGGTGCAGCAAGTCTGAAATACTCAAGTGCCCAGAATTAAAAGAATGCAGATACCCTGGGGGTGAGAGAAATTAATATTCCCAACTATAAACATCATGGAACTGAACTGGACCAGATAAACAAATACTGTAGGTATAGCAGGTCAGAGGCTTGGAGCTACAGTTATTCACCACAGCCTGTCCACCATCTACAAGCACAAGTCAGGAGTGTGATGGAATGCTCTGAGCAGGTGCAGCTCCATAAGATATAGCAGCAGAAGTAGGCTATTTGACCCAATGAGTGTGCTCTAAAATTCAATGAGACCGTGGCTGATCTGATAATCCTCAACTACACTTCTCTGCCTTTTCTCCTTGATTCCCTCACTAATTTTAAACAAACAAACAAAAAAAAAAATCTATCACAGCCAAGAATATAATCATGACCCAACCTCTACGGCAAAGAACTCTACAGACTGACAACCCACTGATAATTAATTCCTTACATGTGTCTTAAATGGGCGCACCCTCTTACTCTGTAATTATGCCCTCTGATCTTAAACTCTCCCACAAGGGAAAACCACTTCTTAGCAACTACCCTGTCAAGCCCCTAAGAATCTAGTATGTTTCAATAAGGTCATGTCTCATTCTTCTAAATTGCAGCACAAGCCCAACATATTCAATCTCTCCTCACAAGAAACCCCGCTGCCATGTGCAGGATCAACCTGGTGAATGTTCTCTGGACTGCTTCCAATGCCAGCATATCTTTCCTTAGTTAGGGGGTACCAAAATTTTTCAGTATTCTAGGTGTGGTTTAACTAGGACCTTGCATAGTTTTAACAAGAGCTTTCTATTGTAATACTATATTTCCTTTGAAATAAAGTCCGTTTCATTTGCCTTCCCTATTGCCTGAACTTTTTTCTACAATCCATATTTCATGGATTATGCCTACTTATATCCCTTGCAGATTGTCTTCCTCATCACTTGCCCTTTCACCTATTTGTGTCATCTGCAAACTTGAAGATAATGCATTCACTTTGCTCAGCCAGGACATTAATCGATTGTCAATAACTGTGGTCCTAGCACTAATCCACCTGGTTGCCATTCTGAAAATGTTTGCCTCATCCCAAAATCTATTAGTTAGCCAAATCATGGTAATGCACTACTGTCAACAGTAATCTTATCTTACCAAGTGGCCTTATGCACAATACCTTATAATACACTTTGATTGTCAAAGGATTTTATATTCACTGGTCCCCCTTTGTTTATACTGCTTGTTACAACATTCAAGAAACATATTACCATCCAAGAAATAGAAACCTGCATAACTGCCACTCTAACACCTTCAACATTCACTCCCTTCACCTGCCGATGCACAATGGCAGGGGTCGAGGATGCAATGCAGCAACACACCAAGCTGCTCCAACAGCACTTTCCAAAGACACAACTGCCATCATCTAGACACAGCAGATGTGTGGGACCATCATTACTTGCATGTTCCTATTCAAGCCAATCACCATCCTGGTTTAGAACTATATTGCTGTTCCTTGCCTGTTGTTGGGTTAAAACCCTAGAACTGCCTTCCTAACATTACCGTACTCACCCCCATTCCTTAAGAACTGCAGCGGTTCAAAGAGGCAGCTCACCACTTTAGGGCAATTACAGATGGGCAATAAATGCCCACATTCCCAGAATGAATAAAAGCAAAAGACAGAAAAATTGATGGATATGAATATGTCAGAAATCTTTGCACGGACAGAAGAACCAGCTTAGTTTTTTTTTGGTGGTTGGTGTTGTGGAGATGTTAAAAGTACTTTTAAAGAGGGAAGATGGCACAGTATTGAGGAGCATGAACCAATATAATCAATAATGACTGAGATGCAGGCCATGTATTCAATACAACAACAGGTAAAACTTCTTGGAACTATTTACATCAATTCATGCCCATTATGAAAATGTTACACAAAGTCATCTAAACTGAGCAAGTATTATAGACAAGACTGCTTTCGGTTTTGCAGGTCAACCAATTTAGACCATGTTTTCCCCAATTTAAGAAACTGACATAACCCCTGGAGTTTTATATTTCTGTAAATCATAAATCTATTACACAGAAATTGGTGTTTAAAATTTTGCACCCCAAAGACCCGTTCCCCTTCGGCATGCAATTGGAATAAATTAGCAGTGCTGAGAGTACATGTGCATTTGGAAATAAACTAAATGCAAATTAATGAATCAGACAGCTTACACGTGCTATCGCCTCTCTGAATGGCCAAGAGTTTGAGTTTCTCTGGTGGAATGTAGTCTCCTTCTTTCTCCTCCACAAATGGGGACAGGTGAGGTGGTAAAGTTACTCCCAGAAAATAATCTTCTACAGGAAGAAGTGTTTTAGCATTAATACAGTCGTAGACCCATTGAGGCTGGATATAATACCTGAAAGTTAAAAATAGTAAAGGTTAAAAAGATAAAAATAATTGCAGCAGTGGACAGTTATGCATGTTTAGCCAGTTATAGTAAAAAGGAAAGTAGGTACATCAAATGGAGAATCTGTTTTATTTCACTTTGAATGAAAAGCTTTTTTAAAAAAAAAGGTCTCTCATCACTTACAATTGTACAATATCAGAATTAAATAGTGGGAAACAGATTCAAATTGCAAGATAGTATTGTTAGGCAAGCTTCAGGCAGTGCAGTAGCTGAAGCATTTCACTGGAAGGAGAAAAGGAAACATATAATACTTACAAAGCAATCGAATTCCGTTGTTCTAGCTCCGGTGCTGGTTGATATACATGCTCACAATGCTACAACATGACTATCCATTTCAAGGAAGTAGATGCAGAGCAGATATGGAGACACAGAGGAGGAAATGCTATTTCATAAATTGTATGACTCATCTTGGAAGCTGGTAATTGATCCTATCATATATATTTACAATATGCTCTTTTTACCCCTCCATTCATTCATGGGATGAGAGTGTCGCTGGTTAGCCTGGCCTTATTACTCATCCTAGAGAATAGTTAAGAGTCAATCACAATGCTGTGGGTCTGGTGTCACATGTAGGCCACACCAGGTATGGATGGCAGTTTCCTTCTCTAAAGGACATTAGTGAACCAGATGGGTTTTCCAACAGTTGACAATGGATTCATGATTATCAGTAGGCTTTTAACTCCAGATATTTATCTAATTCAAATTCCATCATTTGTTGTGGTGGGATTCAAACCCAAGTCCCCAGAACATTACCTGAGTTACTGGATTAATAGTTCAGTGATAATACCACTAGGCCATTGCCACCCCCACGGCATTGTTAGGTAAGGGAATTGCATTCTGATTATATTTTACATTCTCTCATATCGCAAGGAAGAGTTTTGTAATTTTTAAAATGTAAAAATTACAGGCATTCAAATTACAGGCTTACTAGTCTTGGAAGCCCAAGGAAAATAACTACACTGAAGGGTCAATAAAAACAGAATAAATGTTTTTCACTTTAAGTGTATCCTGAAGATTTAAATATCAGTTAAAATGATGAATAGAATTCATCAAAGACATGCAATGGCTATTTGCGAAACAAACTCTCCACTAGTCAATGTACAAAAAATCTAAACCAAGATCATTTATTGTGTCTCATTAGGCGCAAAGTTAGGCAAGGAAAGAACGAACTTGCTCTTAACTGGAGTGTGTGCAGCCAACGTTTAAAGTATGTGATTGGCAAGTGGAAAGCAAAACTTGAACAGGTTAACATGTCTTGCTGTTCAAGAATGTAAGAGTATGCCATGATCAGGAACTATTTTGTTTTAGATTTCCAGCAGCTGCAGTATTTTGTACTTGGGTTCTTAAAGCAAGCAGTGGAAAGAATTTACTCCTATACCATATGGAGGACATTGAATTAATTGTTTGTTGCCAGATTTAACAGAAGTAAAAGACAACACCAGTAACAAAAGCAAACTCCTATTTACTGGACGTAGCATTTCAGTTTTTATGAGATCATACCTGTTAATAAACTGTTTATCCAGATTTGGCCTGTCCACGATCTGATGAGTGATGGTTTCATCTGTTACAGGATATGTCGCACCTATACAAAGTGACTTATCCCATGATACCTTGCCTCCAAAACACCTAAAGGTTTTAAAGAGGTTCAAAGTTATTTTCTCCCGAAAGCAGAGTTCTTCAAAGCAATGAATAAATTGATAAAGAACAGAGAGAAATGTCAGCCACAGTTCCCATTCCAATCTACTGCTACCTAGTCATTCCCCTGCAGATGGTGTATTTGTGAATACTGAGCAAGAACAGAAATGGACTCCATATGTTCTCCAATATGGAATCAAATAGCTTACTGACATTCGTGGTGTCTCTGGAACCAATCACAAATTGGCCAGATTGTGAAACTGTACCTTCACAAAATTCATTGAGAGGACAAAAAGAGTCATAAAAGCATTTGATTGCTTTTTTTTTTAAAAACTAATTTCATCATAGTCATCTGAGATAACAAGGTGTAGAGCTGGATGAACACAGCAGGCCAAAATTTTTCTGAAGAAGGGTCTAGCCCGAAACGTCAGCCTTCCTGCTCCTCTGATGCTGCTTGGCCTGCTGTGTTCATCCAGCTCCACAGCTTGTTATCTCAGATTCTCCAGCATCTGCAGTTCCTGCCATCTTCTCATCATAGGTCATCAATTGCTATGGTTGAGCAACTTTATCAGACAAATAGTAAAGCCTCTCGGGCTAGGAAGATACTAGGTTCAATGCATCAGTTGAAGCATTACGTAGCTAAATTTGGGGGACAAAGTGAGGTGAAAATGCGCATACTTAGGCAAGAACAGAATTGGTTTGGCCTCAGTCTGCCAACCTGACAAAGACAGCCAACGGAGTTGACAAATGAATAATGGTCATGTGTGAGGTACAAACTGTATCCCAGAAGCAACTGGCTGACACCATCAGAAACAATAGGACAGACTGAAGGATTAAAAATTGTTCACATACACCAGAACTAGTAACATACCTTATGACAAATGCCAGTGATTCACGTGGAACTTCTCTGTTTAAGAAAAACTTCATCCCCTCAAACAACTTCTTCAGTTTTTCTAGAATTTGTTGTTCTTTTTGCCTCTCTTCAAGCAGTACTGCATTTTCCTGAACAAATTATAGGAGTTACTCCAGTGCATTATATTATTTTGCCACGGAGAATTACCTCATACAAATAACAAGGTGCCAATGTAACCTGGCAAACATTCAGTTTTAATCAGACAGCACTTCTAATAGACCAAAAGAGGTACTCAACTCCATTACATTTCTGCAGGTAGAAAGAACTGCTATGTATTTCACTGTTAACATATTTGTGTCATAAAACACTAACCAACTGCCAAACTAAGTTTGGAAACTGTATTTTACTGTGAGTTATTAACACATCAACCCGCCATCTTAATTTGACCTAGACTTAGCATTCCTTTCCTTAGTAACAACACAAACGCCTCAAATGTGCACTTACAGAATACCAAGGGAAGATAAAACACATGCTGAAAGCAGATTTTTAACAAACAATCTGGTTCAGTGCACAAAAACAAACTAAAACATAGATGCTCTTAAGTCTTCAAAAAGAGAGGCTAATCTAGGTGGTTTTGTAAATTGTTCAAAAATGTCAACAAGTCACAAAAGGATACACAATTATATGGCAATAAAAATATATTTTTTGAAGCACTATTCTGAGTGTAAGCATGTTTGTTTGTCCAACATCCAGTTGTGTTTTTGTGCCTGGGAAATTAAACAATTTTTCCTAAAACCTCTCCCCAACTTTCACCAAAAGATTTGGCTTCTTAATTTATGATTCCTTACTCAGGTAGTAACTACTTATATTCAATTCTCAACAATAAACAACAATCCACTGTTGTGGATACAAGCCCATAGATTTTGAAAGTTTAAGTTCTAAACAAAGTTTTCCTTTAATTTGCACTTGTAAGCTCTCATGGAGGAAAGTATATGTGATTTCTGTCTTTTTCCAATAGCATCAACGTCAGCAGTACATGCCAAGTAAATTTTGGTCCTGTGTAATTTATCATACAGAGTAACTCGAAGCTGATTAAATTCAGTGTTCATTGCACTATGGTACATTCATATTTTATAGCCAGTATCAGGTTTCTACTTTCAGCATGCAATTGATGCATTTTGGCAATTTAGAGAATCACTACTAGGTGAAGGCCTACAACTTCAACAATCAATGACCCTACATTTACCTATGTCCTCTGGAAAATAATGATAACTAGCTCCATGGATATAAATAATATTTTGACTGCAATGGTTTAGATAAAAAAAAAGGATCCGTGCTACAACTGTACAATTGATGGATAGTTCTTATGGTCATCCAAGGAACAGTTCTGCTTGTACTAAGCTGCCCAATCTTCTGTCATGAAAATATAATGAAGCAGAAGCCAAATCAACAACAAAAAAATTTTTAAATTTAGCAACAAAGGAGTTTTCTTTCCTCACTGAAAAACACATTGTTTAATAATGATGAACAATACGGTTTAATACTTACTTCTTCTGCAGGAAACTCATCAGGTACGTCATCCTCTTCATTCGAGGATATCACACGAGCTAAACTTGCACCCAGCGCAGCCAGTTTCTACACAAAGTCATAAAATTAAAATTGGTGCTTTGAATAAGATCACAATTTTTTTGGAGGGTAAGACTTTAGTCAGGTTCACCACTTACCTCCATATAACATTCAGAATCCATTGCATATTTCTCTTCATTGTCTTGCTTCAGGTTACTTTCTTCAGCATTGTTTTCAAGCTGAAGATAGATTTTCAGTTTAGTTAGTTATGTGAAACAAAATGGTTATCAATCCACCAGACTTCTAAATCCACAAATCTGTTGTGAATTGTGGAATCACAACAGTAGCTACAACATGGGTTGCCGTACACAAAGTGCACAAGTATAGCAAAACAATAAATAACTACGAAGGAACTTCCTGCTTCATGGGAAGATTCTAAAACAGTGAATACTGTAGCATATTAAAACTGGCTACATTTATGGGACATCTACGGGACAGTGAATAAGTACCCAATAAGCATATATGGAATGTATCTTTTATAGCAAAGACAGAAGGTTTCCTAATCAAAAATATTTCATTATATTATGCACCTTACAACATTTTGGACATTTCTTAATTTGCCGATATTGGTTTAAAGCTTGAATTCAATGTTTTCAGTTTTTTGGACTTCAGCAATTAGTTTCCCGTACTGTGATAGTGACTTGACATTTTGATGGGCCAGATCAGATTTGTTTTACTTCCCAACTTTAGTTTATTTAATAGTCTGGAGCACTGCAATAACTGAACACATTTTGAGAAATTTATTACTGAATTCACATTTTCACTGCGAAAATTATTAGTCCATAAATTACAGATGAATGATTTTGGAAATATGAAAGCTATATATTAAATTCTCTCCAGTATTTTGAATGGTGTGCAAATTAGACAGTAATTTTCCCAAAAATGGTATTTTTAGAGAAATAAATCTCATTAGTTAAAGGCTGTCAGTTCTAATCTGTGGCCTGGCCAAATATCAACAGTGGTATGTTACTAATTCATGAACATAGACAGCTCATAATTTAAAAGGTCACAAATGGAAGTGAAAGAAAAATATTCCACACAAGGGGTGGAATGTGCATACATCCAACAAGGGGGCTGAATGAATTGCATCATGTTCCAACAGAATACTGTTTGTTTGCACCATCCAATAGCTCAATGCAGAAATAAAACACTTTTGCCATACCAGATCAGGCAGTGTGCTTCAAGAGGTTGTTTCACAAAGCACCAAATTTGTTTCATGCTCATATAGCGGGTTATCAAATCAGTGCATAGGTTTCTGAGAAGAAAAGCAAGCATTTTCCAGATGGAAAGTCCCTCACTTTGCAGGCCACACTACTCATTTGTCTACCAGTAGCCAACTGAAGGGCAGTGCTGGAAGAGCTTTGCTGGATGATTGCCCACCAGCTTTCCCAGGGTGTGGAATGTCACATGTACCCGGTAAACATTACAACCATAATGAACATTCCAAAAACATTTAGGCTTGAAAAACGGACAATGTTAGAAAAATAAATCACACTGCGTGCCCTTATCAGCTATAAAAGAACTATTCCAGTACTGAATACCACATTACCGTCATTATGAGCATGACTGTAAATGGATAACTCTTGCACATGCAAAAGGTAAAACTTTGGTCTTTGTTGATTTAGAAAAATTCTCAACATTTCTGAATAAGCAACTTCCATTTAATTATTTTACACCTGTTGAAACATTCATTCTGCAGAAGCACTATCATTGTGGAATTCAGGTTATTGAAACAACTTTGTACTTTTGATGCTGTACAATAATTTAATAAAATAAGTTGTGCAGTCATTAACACTTCCAAAGTCCTAAATATGCTTTCCCATCAGACTTGGCCTGCAAACCAAAGAGAACAGAAAATATACAGTGTAACAAAAATCGAAGAGGGAAAACAGGAACATATATAATTGGAATCAGATATATAACAAATATGAAGTTGCAAATCACCTCTGGGATACTTTCAACGACTAAATTTACTTGACAGAAATCTAATCTACCTTTGGAGGATAAAGAAGATTGAGGCTCTGGTACAATCTAAAGTTGACAAATCCAAGAAGGGTTGTGAAAAACTCTGTGAAGGTTGCCATCACTCTGTAGTCCACATCTGTGGGATGCTGGAAACACAATTTTAAAGCTCAGGATAAGAAGATTAAGAAGCAATAGTTATATTGTATGACTTAAAACTGGGATAACACAGAAGCCTTTTAAATGCAAGTATTTGTTTAAAACAAAAACAGCATACTTTGCTCCACTTGGGAACTATAAAATCCAAAGCAAAAGAAGAGATTTTCATTTTGTTAAGCTGGGAGTAGTTTGAACAATACATGAAATCAGCAAGACACCCAAAGCATGAACATCAGGAACTACTTGAATAATTTGCTTGGTCAGCACCGGACAATGCTAGATTAACAGCCAGCTATCACGACAGTACTCCAGATCCCAGTCTACCAGTGAATAACACAACAAGATTAGCTGGGATAGTAGGAACTACAGATGCTGGAGAATCTGAGATAACAAGGTGTAGAGCTGGATGAACACAGCAGGCCAAGCAGCATCATAGGAGCAGGAAAGCTGACGTTTCGGGCCTAGACCCTTCTTCAGAAAAATTAGCAGGTATTGGTATTATGAAAAAACTCTATGGCAGTAACGAGGTTGTTGGCTTGCTCACCGAGCTGGTTGGTTATCGTACAGACGCTTCGTCACCTTGCTAGGTAACATCATCAGTGCAGCCTCTGATGTTGTTCAACTCCGCTTGGTATTTATGATCTGGCCTGTTAGTTGGGTTGTGTCATTTCTGGTTCTGTACTGCATGGGTTTGTATATGGGGTCTAATTCCACATGTTTGTTAATTGCATTACAGGTTGAAAACCAGGCCTCTAGGAATTCCTGTGTGTATGCGTGGTTGGCTTGAGCTAGGATGGTCACATTATCCCAGTCAAATTCATGGCCTTCATTGTCCGAGTGCACGGAATTGAGGGGAAAGTTGGTCATGTCATCTCAGTGCACCTGGACAATGAAAGTCACGAATTTAACTGGGACAACGTGACCATTCTAGCTCAAAACATCTGTATGAAAACCTGCCAGCTCGGTGAGCAAGCCAGCAACCTCACCCACAACCTGACCTACAAATCTTCGCAAGAATCTACGGCAGCAAATTGGTTGGTTCCCATTTTACAGTTTTGTAATTATAATAAGCACTTCATTATGCAGGGCATTAACAACTTGGAACATTTTACTCCTAACATTATTTTTCCAATCTTGCCAAATTACACGAAACTATCTGGCACTGTTTTAAGATTTCAGAACTGGTTACATTTAAACTTGATTGCTGTAAACAGCTGCTGCAATTTATGATGGCATGCTTTTCAATTTTCTTTGTCATTTTCTTCAATGACAGTAAAATCAGGGTAGATTTGTGGCGTAAAGAGCACGTTATCAACTGTGCGGTCTCATAATTCAAAACACTTTGTATGTATACGGGACATTTCTTTGGTCCACTGGGAAAGCGAGATCATAAAGTAGTACAGTCCATCATTCTGTGACCTGGAGATGGAGTCAGCCTCATGGCAGCCAAAGCTCTCTCAAAAATGTTGGAATTGTGATTAACCATTTAACAAGCAAGTATGACATTCTCGTGAACTACCAATTCAGTTAGTGGTAATAGCTTTAAAAGTGCAGTGCAGTCCAATGCCCTAATCAAAAATGTACTACTACTTCTACTGTACTTCCCACCTACCAAACTGAACTCAAGACCCCATCATTGTAAGCTAAGCTGCCAGATTCACACAGCTTACTTTTGGAACAGCAGTGCCAAAGTTAAGAAATATCACATGATTTTCATATGGGACCATTCAAACAATGAATAAAAGGAATCGCAAAGTTCTTTGTTCATCTACTACCAGGCATAATGGAGGCTTTATTGCTAGAAGCCAGCTGCAGCGCCCATACCAATGTTACAAGGGACTCTTTTCAGTAAAAGAAAGCTTTTAAAATATTAAAAAACGCCCACAGCATTGCAGTTGGCTAAACAAATGACAGGCAAGAGGTGGTCTGAGCCTAGTAGCTGTCCAACACACTGAGGAATGCAACACAAGAATTACATTTGCCAGTAGTTCTAGGCAAATATTTAATTAAAATTAAAACCCACTGACGTCCTGGTTAAACTACAAAATTCCTGTATTACAACTAACAGGTTTCAAATAAATATAGACTAATATACCTCATTTTACAAAGGAAAGAAAACATTCAATTTTATTATTACTACAATATTTCTTTGTCAAGACCACCTTTAGTCAACTTCACAAATTTGCTCATTAGTTTGGGATACCTCGTATCCCAAATTTCTGACAAGACTGAAGAACACTTTTACTTCATACAAATATCAGTCTTAATACAAAGAAAATGTTCAAGATATTGTATAGCATTTGTATCTAGATGATGAAGGCATGTATGAACTCCAACTCAACCCACAGTCAGTACATCTGAAAATTTGTGGGGAGACCAGCTTTCCCCGAATCAAACGAAATCCACTGGTCAGCACCTTTCCTGCCCTTGTTTGCAGTCATAAAAGTAGGCTAGCAGCAGCAATGTTGATGTGTTGCAGTTTGAATGCTGCAGCCTTCACATACAAAGCAAAGCTACACCTCAATGCTCAATGAAAGGTTGGAGAAAAATGTCAAAACATTTACGCTTGTAATAAATTGGTGTTTGAAATAACCAAACTTTTTCCATTCATTCCACTTTACATCGACCTGTCTGTTTACACTCATCTTCAAAGCAAACTTGGGAGATCACACTGTTGACCAGGAGTGATCACTGAAATACGTTGAGCTGCTACAGTGATTCTCAATCTCAAAAGATCAGTCAGGACATTCACTGACTTAAAACTATATTTGAGACATCAAATCACCAAGTAGCTGTTTTTGTTTGTATTAAAATTCAAAAGAAAACAGTGCAGATTGGAGGAGCAGCAGTAAACAGCTACAACGCTTAGTATCGCTGGTCAAACATATTTGGAGAAAAAGGGAATGGGACTGATTAAAAAAACTAATCTAAGTCCTAGTGCATGATTGATGAACAAACCAGCCTCCTGTAAAATTCTATGATTACAACCAAATCTGAACTTCACTTCAACATTAATCTTGTGCAAGCTTTTATTCCTGGTAATCTTGCAACTTTAGCATTAGGGTGCCAAACAATTATCATCATGTCAGCCTGTCTTTTTGGAGTTGGACTGACTTGTGGTATAGTATAGAATGTGAAGTAATCCACAATTATGCTTGTAAAACGTGAGCAGGAACAACGGCCATCATGGCAAAACTATCTGACTTGAAGCAGCGCTTCCTTCCAAATTCCACAGTTAAAAGTGTAAAGATTAATTTTCTACAAAACAAGAGCATTGGCTTAATTCTGGTTTCAAAAACAAAAAGGACTTAATCAGATGATGATGTTCTGTTGGTGCAGGCAAACATGTTCCCTTAAAAAAACATGTTGAGCAGGGAGGAGATGTCTCATTTCAAGGTGGTAAGAATGCTAACAAAGATGTTTCTCCAGTTCTTTGCCACTATGTAATTACCCCAATTCTTTCCCCTCAAAATAAAGTTTTCTGGGGCTATTGGAAAGTCATTGCAACATTATGGAATTTACAAGGTCAATTCAACGACTAATAGTGAAATGCTGACAAACAGTAGCAAATAATTATTCTAGAGACAGCCTGCCAGCAATAATATAGGTTATGTGAAACAACAATACACATCATATTTCAGCATATTCACTCACTATTGTTTTAAGGATCATTAAACACTACTGAACAGCAAAAATAGAATCTGCCAGACTGCAGCCTTAATACTTACATCATGTGCAAATGTATAGGGCACAATCCAAGTTATCAGTTGACCAAGAATTTCAGCTTGATAATAAATTCCTTTGATAGATAAGAATACCTAGCAAGAAATTATAATCTATTAATTAAAACCAAAAGAGGTTGCCTCAGTAAAACAAAAAAGCAGTGTGGTTGATTTACAACAGCTTTTTAATTGTATTATGCAGTATGTGTTTGTTAATGCAATTAAATTTGAACAATTAATTCATAGAAGCACAATACAATTGTACCTCCAACAACAAAATTTTAAACATACCGCAAAAAGCGTATGAAGCATCGCTTCGCTAGACTTTGAAGAAAATAGCCCAATTTATATTAAATCATTTTCACATGATTTCAGCCGCTTAGTCATAGAGTCATACAGCATGGAAACAGACCCTTCAATCCAACTAGTCCACGCCAATAGTCTTCCCAAACTAAACTAGTCCCACCTGCCTGCATTTGGCTCATATCCCTCTACACGTCTTCTATTCATGTACTGATCATGTGTCTTCTAAACATTCTAACTGTACCTGCATCCACCACTTCCTCTGCCAGGTCATTCTACACACAAACCACTTTGTCAAAACAAAAACCCTCACGTCCTTTTTAAATCCTTCTCCTCTCACCTTAAAAATATGCCTCCCAGTTTTGAACTCCCCCACCCTACGGAAAATACCCTTGCTTTTCACCTTATCTATGCTCCTCACGATTTTATAAACCTCTATAAAGGTCAGCCCTCAAACTCCGATGCTCCAGTCAAAATAGCTCCAGCTTATAAAACTTTCTCTATAATTTTCATATAACAATCCTCAGATTCTATTATGTTTCTTTCAGGAGACTGCTAGCTAACTAATTGGCTGCCAGTCAACTGATGCTAAATTTTGTTGTTATAGGTTGAGAGCTTTCCAATTTGAAAAAAATGGGATTGACTGTCAACCCCATTTTATTTAAATTCTTCTGCCCATTTTATGCCCTTATCATCTGAAGGCATTCACTATTTGTTGCTTATGGTTTCATAGCTATCATGCACTTGATCCCAACAGTGCACAGTGGTTTATTTCATCACAGATGCTGAGCTACAGTTCCACATACAACAGCCTTACAAAACGATGACCCAGGTAGAGTCTAGTCAGTTAACACCTACTATTCACCTATACCAAGTGGGTCTGAAAGATCAACACAAATCACACAATGTTAGCTAACTGACTTCTATAAGAGTGATCCTTAGGCTAGTTTAATGTCCAAATTCCCACAGCATTTGCAATGAGGTTCTTAGTTTCCCCACAACTTAGTGTGATGGGGACTGTTATGAAGGCAGAAACTATTCTATGATATCTAGTGATAATACCAGTACAGGCCTTCAGGTCATAGAATCCCTACAATCCCCATTTGGCCCACTGAATCCCCACTGACCCTCTGAAGGCATTCCACCCGGACCTAGTTGCCCGATCCTACCCACGTAACCTCACTAATCCACCCAGCCTCTACTCCCTGGACACCACAGGCCAATTTAGCTTGGCCAATCCATTTAATCTGCACATCTTTGGACTGTGGGAGGAAACTGGAGCAGCCAGTGAGAATGTGAAAACCCCATATAGAGTCAACCGAGACTGGAATTGAACTTGGGTCCCTGGTGATGTGAGGCAGCAGTGCTAACAACTGAACCACCCTGCCACCACTGTTTTAAGAATCACAAACAAATATCAGGTGTTTTAATTTTACATACAGACAAGGGGAAAAACACATTCAAAAAGTGTATTCTTCACACCTTTCTTTGCTTCAAACCTCTTCAGTTCTTTCATCGAATCCTTACTCTCCCACTCTTGTTATCAGTCCTATTGCCCTTTTCTAGTGCATGGTTTGTTTTCTCGCAGAGTGAAGAAAATAACAACAATCTAAAGACTAGGCACTGAGCCACCGATTTCCTTTTTCTTAAGTCTGTCATTTTAACTGGTATTCCATTAATCATGACCGTTTTGGGTTATCCTGAGATTGCATGAAAAGCTGCAGCCAAAAATGCAATTTTCCTTGTTTCCATTTGGCCCAAAATTCTGGTAGTAGCTTTTTAGGTTTCTTCACCACAATGGATAATGGAATCTGACCTAATTCAGGATTTAACACTTTTGTCTTTACACAATGACAAATATCTTCTTGTCATTTATCTGCCCAAAATAGATCTAAAACTTGGTACAATTCCATTGTTTTGTTATTTTTGTATTGCTAGCAAGTCCAACCAGCATCTCAGGTTTTGAATAGCATTCTAATCATTAATGCTCTGAATTGTCACCTGATAAAATTTGTAGTTTATCAAAACAGCTTCAACATAAAAATTATAAAATATGAACAAATAAGGGCTTTCGGCTTTTCCAGCATTATTGTTTGAAACGGACATTCAGAATCATAGTAACTAAAAACTTTCCAGGAGTATTTTGACTGCTTTCTGTCAACACGCTAGCTCTCTGCAGTGATTCCTCCATTTGTTGGTATGCTTGCTGATAATCATGACCTAAATACTCCTCCAGAACCAATCCACCCATTATACATACAATTCACATGGTTTCACTCTCGCACTGCATTTTAAAGTTATAAATCTGGGAAACATGCACCTTACTAGATCTTGTAGAGTTTATACTGGCAGTAAAAGTTAAAAAAAAAAAAATCAACGTCCTCACCATCTTGCTGAACATAGCATCCCCTTTTTCTCTATGCCTACAGTGTTGGAAATTATCTCATAATACCAGCTGAGACTTACCTTGCGAAGGGACCTGGAGGCAATAACAAAATTCATAAACTCCACAGATAGGCGCCGACATAACTGAATTGTCTGTACGTGACATTTACCCGTGCGAGGGAATGTGGCAAATAGGAAGCACATGGACAATGCATCATCAAGGTCACGGAGAGCATCTATGAAGGTAGGGTACCTTAAAAGGAGAAAAAAAAACTCAATCTTTTCAATATCTTGTCACTGGGAAAAACAGGAACCATAACAATCAAAAGAAGTTTAAAAATTAATGGGTAGAATCAGAGCAAGGAAGAAAGTAATAAATTCCAAATCAGGGTTACTATGCATGTATGGGAATTCACAGAATATTAATAAAGATTAGCGAGTTACAGGCACAGGCTGCCACGTGGGATTATGATGCTTTCATGATAACGGAGTCCTGGCTGAAATGAGGGCAGGATTCGGTGCTCAGAAAGACAGGGAAGGGAAGAGAAAACAAAAACATGAGGAGGGTGATATTTTTGTTTAGTGAGGACATTAAATAGTGTTGGTGGAAAGCAGATGCACTGCCAATAATCCTTCAAATTTCCCTGGATTCAGGAGTGTTTTCAGAGGATTGGAGATTTGCAAACATTTACACTCATTCAAAAAGGCTGCAAACATAGCCCTAGCAATTACATATTAAGGAGTTCAACTTCAGCAGTAGGAAAACTTCCAGGAACAATCATCTTGGATAGGATTAATAGTCAAATGGAAAAACAGGAGCTAATTCAGAATGGTCAACATGAAGGGAAAACTGCATCCATTAACATGGGAGTTTTTGAAGAGATAACACAGAGGGTTGATAAGGTGTACATTGATGTTGAAAAGGCATTTGATGTACTACCGCACAACAGACATACGAGGAAAGCTACAGATCATGGAATGAAAGGGACAGTAGCAATGTAGATGACTGAGATGTAGGAAACAAAGTAATGGCTAGTGAGAGGAGGGATAGAGCTGGGGAAGGTAGGTGAGATGGTGATAGGTGAATGCAGGTAGGGTGTGGTGGGGATTGGTCAGTGGGATGGGTGGGGTGAATAGGTGGGAGAGAAGATGGGCAGGTTGTCTCAGGTTAAGGAGGCGGGGACGAGAGGGAGGGTTGGACAGGCCGGGGAGCTTTTAAAATTGGTGAATTCTGTGTTTAGGCCATTGGGCCGTAGGCTCCCGAGGCGGAATGGGAGGTGTTGTTCCTCCAGTTTGCGTGTGGCGTCATTGTGACGCTGGAGGTGGCCCAGGATGAACAAGTCACCCAGGGAATGGGAGGGGGGAGTTAAAACAATTGGCGATCTGAAGGTGTTGTTAATTATAGCGTACAGAGCACAGATGCTCTACGAAACGGTCTCCAAAGCTTGGTCTCACCGATGTAGAGGAGGCCACGTAGGGAGCAATGTACACAGTAGACCACGTTGGCGGATGTACAGGCGAACCCATGCCAGATTGAATGGAGGGTGCATGTGCGCGTGTGTAAGTGTGGAGCGGATGAGGGATTCACAGAGTGAGCAGTCCTTACAAAAGGCAGATAGGGACAGGGAGAGAAATCTCTTTGGTCATGAGGTTGGATTGTAGGTGGCCGAAGTGACGGAGAATGACACACTGGATGTGGACGTTAGTGGGGTGATCTGAGACAGCCAGGGGGCTTCTGTCTTTAT